TTAGTAATAAGATTAGTATTATTCCTAATACTATATATAAAAATAGAATTACTCTATTTAACTTATAAAGTAAATCTAAAGTAATATAAACTTTAAGTATAGAGTTTCCTTAAAAGGTAGTTATAAATAGCCTTAAGGTCTTTATACTCTATTTAATAGAGTTATTAAGTAGTAAAAATAAGTTAAATTATTTCTCTTTTATCTCTCTTTTTTAATCTTTTTCCCTTTAAGATAATACTTATTACTATTATAATAGAAGTAGTTTATACTCTCTATAAGAACTTTAAAAATAGCTATAACCTCTTAGTAATAACTAAATAATATATATATTAATTTAAGCTCTTTTTTAAGAATAAAGGTATTAAAATCTAAAAGTTTTATTATTCTAAAGGTAAATTAATATAACTTTTTCTTTATAATATATAGCTCTAAAAGATTATTATTATTACTTATTATATTATTATTAATTAATTAATTTATAATATCTTATTAATTATATATTACTACTTTTAAGCTAATAATAAATAGTATAACTACTATTTTATTAGCTATACCTATATATAAGCTTATACTAAATATAGAAATACTATCTTTAATATCTTATTATTTACTAACTCTTTAAAAAGAGATTAATAAAAAGGGGGGGAAAATAAAAATTATAATAAAATATAAGAGAGATATAGCTATATTATAATAATAGAGTAAATAAATAAATAGAAGTTTAATACTAATTTATAGTTAATATAAGAGTTAAATAACTACTAGGCTTTTTTATAGGAGCTACCCTAGGCTTTTTTATAGGAGCTACCCTAGGCTTTTTTATAGGAGCTACCCTAGGTAGTAAGGAAAAGCGTCCCTAGTCTAAAGGAGAGTCGTTAGCGAGCGGTCAAGCAGAAGAGGTTGAGAGGGAAGACAAAGTACCCGAAAGGTTGCTTTGGCGAGCAGGGCCGGTGGGACGCCGGTAGGACTACCTGCTCTAACCGCGACAACCCAGCTTGCCTGGGCGGTATGCAAGGTACAGGCAGCGGGCACAAATTGCACAAGGCTAGCCCAATACTCGCCGGTACATCTAGAAGCCTCGGGAGACTGGGTCATCCCATTGCCAGGACGCGCTAGAGCTGAACCGCCATTAACGATTTTTTTTTTGCTCTTTGCCCTGAGAACCGGGTGACTTGCTGGCTTTTTTCTTCTCCTTTGCGGGTGCCGTGTCCAGGTCTGGCACGCCCGGGGTACGCTGCCGAGTGCCGTAACCCGTTAGATGGGAGGCTACAAGTCAAGACGAATACGTATTCGCAGGCAGTCGTGGCCAGACTATTGTTGACGGATGACGGATGGCGACTTGAGTCTGGAGTCTGGAGTTGAAGATTCGAGTCAAATCCGAGAGGGATTGTCACAGGCTGCAGCCAGTCAGTCATGTCTGCTTTGCTGTTTCTCCCTGGGCCTGAGCTCTGAGCGACGTGGGGACACACATCGCACATCATGCACGAATACGGCTGTCTGGGAATAACACACGTAGGCATTGTCTGTCAGAATTGATGGAGATGAGAATTCGAGAATGCTCTCCGTTGCTGTCGCGGGTGGTGCGTCGTGGTGGTGTCAGTCTGGCACTGGCTGTGTCGGTACAGAATGTCCGGTGCTTGGTTGGTGTTTTTGGTGTGTCGTGGTCGTGTTTTAGCGGGGTGTTTGCTCAACAGACGCTCGGCCAATCAGAGACACACCCCGGTCTTTGCCTCTGAGATATCCGTAAGGCAGGTCCACTCCTCGGGTTTTGATTGGAGGAGACGGCAGGGCAAGGCGAGGCAGTGAAAGCAAAGGGCAGGAGCACTAGCGCTGGGCCTTCCAAGTTCGATTTGACGCACCGAGCAGGGCAGGGCAGGACAGGGCAGGAGCGGCGGGAGGAGCAGGAGCAGAAGTCACAGCACTGGATTACGGATAGCAACAGCACCTGCCAACAGTAATCAGCGCCAGGAGCGTACTTGGCACTTGCTGTCTGCGCGTGTGGTTACCCCTGCCTCCTGCCTCGGGTCCTGCCATCTGCTCCTGCTCCTTCCTGCTCCTGCTGTTTTGTATGATTTCTCAGGTCTACCTTCCGTTCTGACAACGGACGTCGTACCTTGGGGAGGTACTGCGGTAGACAATTTACCATTTGTAAGGGGCAGCTGCCATTTGCCGCTCCTGCTCCTTCGAGGCGGCCTGAATGATGTCGATGTCGATGAAAATGGAAATCAACGGCCCTTCCTCCTGTTCCGTCAAAATGTTCCCACACCCGCTACCTCAATGCACCGCACACCCATCCGCAGTCCACACACACAACACACACAAGACACAACACCGCGGCTGTCCATCTCGGAGCCAGCAACCAATAACTCTGGGCGCTGGCCAATGATTGCCGGTTTCTAATGTCCCCAGTTTCCAGCGGTGTCGTGGTGTGTGGGGTTGCAAAACAGAGAAAAAAAAAGAATGAAAAAAAGGCGCCCCTTCCCTCTTTGACGTCCAATCTGGACGTCGGGAATCCACCTTGTCCTCAAGGATCCACCTGCAGTCCTAAAACGGGGTCGCGGTTGCTGTGAGGTACGTACCGACGAAGTCTCCCACTCGCTGCTTCGACTTTTCCAGTGGAGTGACTGGCCACCCCCCCTGCGGGCAGTGTGCGAGTACCCTGGCTCACTTCGGTCGACCGTGCTGGCTGGCTGGGAACTGGCAGTGAGGAACATGAGAAAGACAAAAAAAAGGGAATGGGTCCTTCCTGCCCTGAACTGACCGTGGAGACGACAGGGCGATTGCCCTGTGCCTGCTCCCTGTTTGGTCTGGTCTGGTCTGGTCTGGAGAGTCCGGTCTGTGTTCACGTCCCTCAACCTCGGGCAGTCCTCAGTCCTCAGTGCCAGCAGCATCACAGGCTGGCAAGATTCAAGATGTCTTTCTGGAGACTGATTTTGAATGTATACTCAATCTGTGTCCTTTCATTTAGGTATCTCTTCTAACATGAGTCTTGAATGCCGGCCTATCATCAAGTCAGGCATCTACGGATAATAAGGGATATCCGAGATGCTACGCTGCATGTAAGGTACTTGCACTTGTACCTTACCTACCACCACCTACCGTGATACCTACCTCATTGTCGAGGCCTGAAGATGAAGAGCCTTTTTTTGCTTTTCGCATCACTACCGCAGCAGCCCGTGTCTATCCAAACCCACCTTGCTGTCGGGCAGTCCTGTCCTGCCTGTGGGTCTCTTACCCTCTTTGGCTCGGTACTTGGATTGCCACCAGAATGTTGCAGAGACCCGATGTACCTACCCTGTCAACCCTACCACCCTCCACCTCCACCGTTTCCCCTCTGCTCCTCTCCTCCAAGCTGCTGGCTCCTGTCTCCGTCCAGTGCCAGCGTAAGGTACCTGTACCACATTACCGACCACCTCACCACTGACCAGTGCACCCCATCCTCCAAGCTGCCGCTGTCCCCTGCCTGAGGTCAGTCGGGTCTGCGGTACTTTCCCTCGCCCTCTCGCCTCCGGGTTCACCTCACACTCACACTCTTCACTTCTCACTCAAAGTACGCACGCCGCCTCCATCATTCCTCGCTCCACTTTCCTACCATCCTCACCCCCATCCCGTCCCCAATCCTCTCCATCTCCATCCTCCATCCCAACCCGACCCGTCCCATCCATTTCACTCCTCGAATTTCTTCCTCCCGTCTCTTTTTTCTCTTTACTCTCCTCCCCTCCCCAACCCTCTCCTCTCCCAATCCCAAACCTTCGAATCCGCCGTATCACGACGAAATCTACCGTCCTCGACTCTCTACGATCCTCCTACCGAGTCGTCGACACCCAGGATTCAGGTTCTCATCTTCCGTCTCTCTCGCGATTTGTTGCCGATCCGACTACTGTTGTATCCTCCACCCGCCACACGGCTGAGTGGTCTCCGACTTTTGTAACTGAGCTATCAAAACACAAAACTACCGTGTTTTTTTCGTTACCCGTTACGAACATCGCCAATCAACATTGTCCTTCGACCTCGCGAAACCATCCGACGTTCCCTTTGAAAAAGGTAAGCCTGCTCGTCGTCTCGATGTTTCCGTCGTCTCGTCGCCCTTCCCCCATCGCATCGCCGACTGTCTGGTACACGAGCTTCGTCCTATCCAACATGCCCGATATTCCTTCGACACGCCAAAAAAACATCGCAACTCGCGACGCCGACAATTTGGCTGGGCCATGCACGCGCTCATGTCCCGAAAATGCCCGCCCGAGCTTCTCATCAAACACCAAACCAACAGCTGGGCTCGATGCTTTCCGGACGTCAAATTTGCTGGGGTTGCATGACAACGGCTGCATTTGTTTCCCACAGGGGACACCCTTCACTGGAGCCGTTGCCCAACTCACCACCTAGCATTCACCCACTCCAATACCGGCCCGCCACTACTTGACGCATCATTCGACGAAGCTTGTGTATCAGACTCAGGCACAGACTGTCAAAGTTTTCCTGCTTCTTGGACGCTCTCGCTGACATTCACCAACCCAGACACAGCTTCGGCTCTCTTTCTTCCTACTACCCGACCGACCTTCTTCGTCCGGTATCTCGCGGCCCTGGGGATTTCTCTGACGCCTCGACGCCCTTTTTTCTCCGTTCAAGCATCTATTTTCCGAGTCAGCCATCACCAGTATTCATTGCCGTCAAGACAACGAGTCTTCCCGGCCTTCGAATCGTACCTCATCCCCCGATACTTTCGACTCACCTGGTCTCCGTATCCTCGACTCCATCGCTAGACCTTCATTCGCGACGTCGACCGACATCCAACCCTTGATGGCTATTCGCGGCTACTAAGGGCTAGTCTCTCCATCTCTCACCAACACGACACCACTTCTCCACGACCTTGCACGCTACGTCTAGCACGCGACGGCCCACGCCTCGTTGTCAAGTGTCCAAAACAGGTGCTTCGAGCAATCTCACCCTCCGACAAAGGTCATCTCACGATCTTCGTCGGACCCCATCTCAACACCGCCATCATGCCCGGAGGAGTATGTGCCGTCCTCGACTACGAGGTCGACCAAATGGCCGAGTTCGTCGCCGAGATGGCTACCCGTGTCGTCACACCCCTGACAACCTCTGCCGTTACGCCGCCCTTCCGCAAGTTCGTCTCGCAGATCCTCTCTTCCACGAGACTGCCCAAGAGCACCATCCTTCTCGGCATGAACTACCTCGCGAAGCGCGTCAACACCCTGAAGCAGAACAACGCCGCCTACACCGTCCCCGAGGGTCAGGTCTGGCGCATGCTGACGGTCTCTCTGCTTCTCGGCAGCAAGTTCTTGGACGACAACACCTTCCAGAACCGTTCATGGTCGGAGGTCAGTGGTATTCCCGTCGCTGAGCTCAACGCTCTGGAACACGAGTGGCTGGAGCAGTCGGGATGGCGTCTCTACGTCAACTTGGACTACAGCGCGGACTACAAGGCTTGGCTCACCAGTTGGGATGAGTGGAAGATCCTCAAGGATCAGGCCAATGCTCGTGCCAACCGCGAGAGGCTCGTTCCCGCCATCGACACCAGCCTCAACCGGTACAATGGTCGTTCTTCGTACCAAACCTTCGTTCAGCAGCAGGCAGCTGAATACGAGCGCTATGAGGCCATCAAGCGCAACGAGATTGCCCATCAGCAGGCTTACGGCAACTGGAACTGGCAAGCGGCTCCGCTCACACCACCCGACTCCGGCTACGGCACTCCCGAGTACATCAACTCGGCAACATCGGCCAACGCCCGATACAACGATTGGTTCTCCCAGGCAGCCGCCAGCGGCCAGTGGAACACTCGCTACCAGCAGCCTTCGCACAACTACTACAACCATCGTCATAATCAGACGTTCTCTGGCCACTACGGCTACAACCAGAACATGTGGGAGCACGGCGTTGCCGAGTGCAATTGCGCAAGCTGCGTTGGGCCTGCTGTGAAGCCGCCCGCCTACTTTGCCCACCCCGGCTTCAGCCAGCCCGTCATGGGCTAAGCTCTGCGACGACACTTCGCGGCATGACCGCACAATGAAATTGGCAGGGATTTTGTTATCGGAAAAGTTTTGGGGGGCCCAGCGTCATGGGAGACGCGGGCTTTTGTTTTATTTTCGGCATGACGATACATTTGCATTCTTCAGATACCCTCTCACGACGAGAAACCGGAAGCGGTTATTTGACCGGATGGTCCCCACGTCGGCATTTGACCATCACGACACGGGCCCGATTCGCTTCGACACCTCCGGACACCTCTGTCACATCCTCGGTTACCAGCCTTGTCTGTTATTGCCTGGTAATTGTGTCGGATGTGCTGTTCACGACTGAGCGAACGCGGCCCCTAATGACTTATTTCTTTAATTTCTTTTTTACCCCCTTGGTATACGGATAAAATTCATCACTGGCGTTTTACGGTCAACCCTGCGATTCCCCTGGAGTTTGGTCGATAGATCTTCTGGCTTTTCTATGTTTGTGTGGTAGTGGGTGGTCCTTTCCGACGATGCGTACACTTTCCCGACCGTCCCGACGCCCTTCGATCAAGATCGCCATCGACAACACCTCCAAGCCCACCTACCGAGATGTCGCTAGCAGTGGATGCCAACAACAATTGTGGCGCCATACGTAGCACGCAACTCGATTCATTGGGCCGGACTCGCGAAGCATCGACAATTTTCACCTGTCGCTTCGACTCTTTCCTTTGTGGTCCACCGAGAAGATCGTATTATTTTGCTGTAATTTACTCGGTCCGGCACATCACCGGCTTCCATTCTCGGTTAGGATGTGGTCCTACGGAGTTGGCCGGCCCATACCATCTGAGATTGGTGGTAGTGGGCAGTACTGGACGCCTTTCGGCGCGCAAAAAAGACAAGTTGCATGAGCGGAGGTACATATGGATCATGTTTTGTTTTGCTGGTTGTGCGCGGGCATTTGTTTGTTTCGCAAGAATGAAAAAAAGGGACTCACATGGAGAGGTGTTCTGCATTGCACACTCGGGTCAAAACGGAGGATAATTCCGCGGCAGGTTTTCTGGAGTTTACTATTTTCTTTGTGTGTTTTTTCTCGTTACCCTTTTCCCCTGGAACAACTGGTCTGCGGATGCCGTCCCAGAATGGGACTACGTCATCGCAACTGAATTCCTGGGCTCTGTTTATGACATTCTTAGACGTCTCTTTTTTTCTTCTCTTCATGTCAATTTGGCATTCACTAGAGAGCGGTATGGCTACGGGGTATGACTATCAAACGGGCGGCAGATAATGCGGGCTTGTTCTTCCATTTGCAGACAGCCATGGATTGTGGTTTTTAACAAGGTCTACGACTTGGGAAGATATGGAGAAACAAAAACCAACGGGACTGGATACGAATCTTCCACCGCGGGCAGCGCCGACTGTCACGGGCGGCACCAGAGCGTGGCGACCGCCCTTACAGCAAAGCGTGTCTACGACTAAAAAGGTAGCGGAATTATGATACTCTGGGACAGAGATTGGAAAGGAAAAGCGAGGATCACAAAACGCGTGCGATGAGGCCGCGATGGGCACGTCCTGACGTGTTGGAAGATGTAGTCCTAGACAAACAGACAAATACACTAAAAAAGTGAACCACACTCTTCATGACCGAGACTGCTGAGAGTGAGATGAGACGGAGGCAGTGACTGAAAGGCTGAGTGAGGCCCGTATGTGTCGAGGGATTGGAACGTGCAAACTTGGCACGTGTGATTTTCTCAAGAAAATAAATCACACTGAATAGTGATTCGATGAGTGAGATCAACGTCTCGAGCTTGATTTGCCTCATTCTTGCGCCTACCTGAGTTGTCAAAGTGTGAGCAACGTGAGTGAGTGAGTGAGTGGGTGAGTGAGTGGCAGCCGGGGGGGGGGAAGGACCTCGTTCGCATCGACGTGTGGACCCGAGCTCTGATTCGTCGGGCTTTTCAACGTCGCACCTCTCCGTCTGTCTTCACCTTGATTCTCTTCTCAACCGCATCTGATTCCAACGACAAACAAGCCTCCCAAGGCGCACCTTTGATATATCCTGAACTCCGCGCCGCTTTCGCGTTATCTGATCGCGCGCCACGTTATTCCAGACGGCTTCTCTCTTTGCCGTGGTTGGCTGATCCCATTGCCTGGCGAGGACGTTTCGGTCACGTCCATTCCGCGCGAGTGACAGCCGGGTCTTTCACTGCTCCGAGGACCAGTTCATATTAGGGGACTCATCCTATTGAGCGCCGCTCAGGCCGGAGGACTGTAGTCCCATCGGACAGGAGAAAAGTACCATCTTCGAGACTGGGAGGAAAGTCCAAGGTTGTCCCTCCAAGATGTCGCGCTTCGTCTCCGCGGGCGCGATCAACGCCGAGACGGGCGAGGCCACCGCGGCCGCCGCCGGCGAGCAGGCTGTCTTCACCGGCGCGGGGGGCGAGGCGCCCAAGAAGAACGCCGAGTGGGAGGCCGTGCAGAAGGAGCTCGAGGCGGACAGGAGGCGGAGGGAGGAGGCGCGGGTCAAGGCCGTGGAGGGCGGGGAGAGGAGTCTGTATGATGTCTTGCAGGCCAATAAAGGTACTGTCTCTTTATTTACTGATGGCCCTTCGTTCTATCCCGTCTCATGATGTTTGTTGTGGTTTCTTTCTTTCTTTCGTTCTTTCTTTTGGGCTTGATTACTGATTCGGGACGACCAGCCGCCAAACAAGCCGCCTTCGAGGAGCAGAACAAGATCAAGAACCAGTTCCGGCCGTTGGACGACGACGAGATTGAGTTCCTGGACGACGTGAGGGAGGCGAAGAGGAAGGAGGAGGAGAGGGTGAGGAGGGAGACGGAGGAGGGGATTGCCAAGTTCCGGCGGGCGCAGACGAAGAGGCCTGGTGGTGGCGAGGGGGAGGTTGAGGATGAGGGTGGTGTTGAGAAGGGAGGTGAGGGGGGCGAAGAGGAGTGGGCTGTCGGGCCGAGGAAGAGGAGGAGGAAGGAGAGGGGGTTTGGGGTGAAGAGGGAGAAGGTCGAAGGTGGTGATGGGAAGGGAGAGGAGAAGACGGCGGAGGGGAAGAAGGAGGAGGTTGTGAAGGAGACGCCTAAGGCGAGTCCGCCTGCGAAGCTCAAGGTTGGGCTTGTTGCGTATGAATCTGATTCTGACGATGATTGATCACGGATACCGGAGCGTTATGAAGGGGATTCCTGAACGCTCCAGGGTGGAATATGCAAAAGACGACGGCGAGACGAGAGTTGATCAAAGAGGAGTGTACAGTGGAATTCGTGTCAAGTGGAGGCTAATTGGCCCCATGTCTATAATGCCTTCCCACGCCCGTCCATGCAGCCACAAGCCATAAAAGAGCTAGAATTACAAGAATATACGCCAGCCGTCGCACCCGCAGCAGCGGGCGGGGGGATAGTATACAACGCTTTTTTCTTCATCCCGTCATCCCACCTTCGCAACAACAGCATTACCTTCACTCGTCGTCAATGTTGCCGACATTCGGCCCCTTGGGCCCGCCGGCGACGAAGTACTCCCACCCCCAGACGCCCAACGACCTCAGGCTACCCTTGATCCAGCCCTCGACCTCGGTCTCGGGGACCTCGATGGCGCGCGCGCGCTCCTCGTCCTCGGGGCGGATCTCGAACCTGCGCATGCGGCCGGCGATGCGGGGGTCGACGACGACGGGGGACGTCCAGACGCGCTCGGTGGAGAGCTCGGCCCTCTCCTCGTCGTCGCGCGCGTCCTCGGGCTTCTTCCACGCGCTCTTGGCCCAGTCCTTCTCCTCGTGCGCCAGCGCGCGCTGCTGCTCGTAGGGCTCCTCGTCGGGGGAGGAGGTCGACATGTCCTCGCGGTACTCGCGGGCGTGGGCGAAGCAGACGGCCGCGACCTGGCGGCCGACGTCGTCGGCGAGGCGGCGCCGCGTGAGGAAGCGGCGCAGGCGGGTGAAGGTGGCGGAGAAGCCGAGGACGTGGGGGAAGGGGATGGGTTCGGAGGGGGAGAACTCGGAGGGGATGAGGAGCGGGAGGTGCGCGGTCGGGTAGTCGTCCGTGGTGTTGTGGGGGACCGGTTGGGGCGGGCGGGAGGGTTTCTTCTTCTCTTCCTCCTCTTTCTTGGGTTCTTCTTCCTTCTTCTTCTCCTCGCCGTCGGCGCCGGTCTCGGGCGTCGTTTCTTTGGGGGGCTCTTCGGGCTTCGGGGGCGGGTCGAGCGGGCCGAGCCAGCCCTCGTGCAGGCCGCGGATGTACTCCTTCCACGTGTGCCTCCCGATGACGATGTCGCCGGCGGGACCGTCGAATTCGGGGATTGCGTTCTTCTGGCGGACGGCGTCGCGGAGGTTCTCCTCGGTGGGGAGGAGCTCCTGCTCGGGCCTCTCCTCGCGGGACCTGCGCCGACGGATCTTCTCGGCCACGGCGGCGCGGACGTCGCCCTGCTCGCGGCCCTGGACGAACTCCCAGTCGAGGCCGGAGGCGGCGAGGATGGGCTTGACGTACTCGAGGAAGTGGTCCTGGGCGACGCGGAGGCCGTCGCCGGGGGGCGCCTCGAGGAGGACGGTGAGCTTGCGGGGCAGCTGGGAGGGGTTGGCGACGGGCTCGGCGGCGAGGGGCGCGACGGCGCGGGCCCAGCGGGCGGTGGCGCGCTTCTTCTCGCGCTTGTCGTAGACGACGGCGGCGGAGAAGGCGCCGGTGATGGAGAGGAAGATCATCCAGTTGCGGGAGGGCAGGCGTTTCGGCGGGCCGCGCATGCCGAGCATCTGCCAGACCGGATTCGGATTCGGGGCCTTGTAGGCTTCGGCGGCGGAGGAGGAGGGGAGAGCATTTGTTGTGGCCGGTTTTGCTGTTGTTGTCGCCGGCGTCGGGGCCGCGAGTGCGGGTGCCTGGAGGGTGGGAAGTTAGATATGCGACTTTTGAGGTCGTTGGTGAGGGTGGAAGCGGGATGGGTGTGTATGTACCTCGGGCGGCGTGGGCGGCTTTGACTCCGCCATTTTTGTGTTGTTTGAGATGATTATTATGTATGGGTTTTGTCGAGAATATCGTTCGGCGAGGAGAGCGCAGAAGGGGTGGACGGATGGCAGCCGTTCGCAATGGCACGCAGCGTTCGACGAGCGGGACGGGAATGAGGTTTTTGGAAATTTTGTCGCGATAAGAGCTTCGCCGAATTATCGGATCTATCTGTCCCAATGCGGCAAGGTGTGATTCTGGGCTTCACCGCCTTCTACTTACAGACCAAGGCCCGTGCTCAGAATGCACCTCAGCTGTCACGGCCTCTTTTACCCTTCTTTTTTTCTTCTCTTACGAGCTACAGAAGTCAATTGACAGGGAAGACTTGTTCAGCTCGGGCTCGAAGACGGCATGCAACGGGATCCCGTCTGAAGAAATCATGCCCCTACGCCGAAACCCCCGAAAAAAAAAAGGTGCTGAGGCGTCGGTAACCAAGTCCGGGAGTTGGGATATGGCTGATCCACGCGGGAGGGACGACGACTAGCGCGGAGAGCGACAGAAGCGATCCCGGAGACGGCAGATCTGGGTGCATGATCGACGTCCGCTTGTCTGCTGCAGAACGACGGTTTAAAAAAAAAGTCGCGATGGCAGGAGGACGCCGCGCATTGCGGGCTTTTTGGGTCATGTCATGGATGTGATGCGAGAGTCTGATACGGGCACGGGGCATTGCGTGAGCCTGCCGTCGGCGTCGCTGTCATTCGCTACGGTGGTGTTGATATTTCTTGATTTGCTATTTGGTGATGGCTTCCATACGAGGTCCAAGTAAGAATGGGTTACACGTCGTTTTAAGGTCACGAGGACGAGGACGGTGGAACACGGGCGACGACTGACGAGGGACGTTGAAAGGCCAGCCAGGGTTACTCCTCGAGCGGACGATCGTCGAGATACGGCGAGAGTGCAACGCAGCCATGTGTCACGACGAGAGCCTCGTGCGGTGGCGGGTGTAACGGCGAGTTCTCTACGCTGCGTGGTACGCGGAGCACAAGACGTGGGCAACCTATCTTTTGCCGTGATGGATGCGGGGTTCTACGGCGTTGATGCGGTCCGCCGTGATGCCCTCGTGCCGGGAGAGCCAGGCTGCCGGTGTCGTGTCATGGAAGAAGCTAGAAACGGGGTACGGGATGACGATGGTTATGCGATGCGGCAGATAGAGGGGGGTCAAGGCTGACGTGTAATGTTTTCGCAAGGAAAGACGAGATGGAGGACATCGGAGAGATGAACGGGCGAGGAGGGACGGGCTTGGTTCGGATTGGGCGTGGTGAGATGTCAAAGCCCTCCCTCGGTGTTGGGGAAGAGGCAGTCTACTTCAGTAAGGCTGGTTGTGAGTACCTAGTCGGATGAAGCTGTTGTGGAAATACGCAATGCGGATGGACGGCAGGGAGAGGAGGTTCGGCAAGATGCCGAGACGATGTTGCACGGTTGGAGGTGGAAAGCCAATCGCAGGGGCGGGAGGTGGTGATGATGGTGTTGTTGGTCGCACCGGCGTAGAGCTAAGAGTTGTGGTGGTCCGTCAAGTTAGAGTGCGTTGAGTTCGTGTTAGCGGAAGCCAGTTGGACATGGCAGTTGGATTTAACTCTGATGCCGAAAAGTCAAGGTGGGAGGTCGGGCACATAGGTGTCTTAGGTAAGTTGTGATTTTCCAGTGGTGGCAGGAATTGTATTCCTTTCCGCTGGATTGGTTCGTCTTTGGATTGAAGAGTCGGTGAAGAAGTGAAAGATGCTGGAGACACAGAAGGGGGAGCCGCTAAAGGAGAACAGGAGGTCGGGTTTAAGCGAGCAGAAGCCTCTCACCTCTGGATTTTGGCACTTCACCTGCGACCCCGCCGCTTCCCCTTCCGCCCCGCACATTTGTGGGTCGACCGAGACGATGACGGATATCGGGAAAGATGTCTTAGGTAAGAGAGACAGACCCCGGGGATGTTGGAAAATAAACTACGAGTAGATACTCGCATGAAGCTCTATGTGAGGTCTCGAGTGCATCTGAAGAATGATTTGAGAAGCAGGTCTGTCTGATAAAGACGGTCTGGGTAATATTCTTCACAGGATATCAAGCAGAGGTGCAGCGGAGGAATTCCTAAGATAGACCCCACCTGCGGCCGATCAGCCAGTCACAGACGAGGGATGCTCCAGTTCTCAGGGGTAGTTGGGGTCCAGGTCCAGGTCCAACTGAGGGACGGTCACAGGTGCCAGTGGAGGTGCTTGTTTGGAGTCTTGGACTCTCCTGAGCTGAGGCGAGTCCCTGAAAAGTGTCAAGTCCAGGGCCATGGATTGTTGGTGGTGGCTTTCTCTCGCCTCCCTTTCCCTCCCCTCTCTCCAATGTCCAATGTCCAATGTCCATGTCCTATGTCCTGGCACCTCATTCGACATCGACTCGAATCAACTCAACTCGACACAAAACACAGCACAGCAATTGGCTCTTGCTTCCGCCCTCCGTCGACCCAACGCTCCGTCAACGGCGTGTCCTCCCCCTCCACCTGCCGGCTGGGTCTCGTGACTTCGACTTCCTCTCGTTCCTCACCTCCCTCCCCCTCACAATTCTTTCCTCCTTTTGCTTGAAGGTGCCTCATCTTGCCGCCCCAGACCCCGACAAATTAAGCTAGCTTCCCAAGGCAACCTAGCTTTGTCCCGCCGTCGAAATCCTCGAGACGGCCCAAGGAAGCCAGGAGCAGGAGAAAAAAAGACCTGGTGCCTTTCCCCTCCGCCACTGTACTCTGTACTCTGTACTCAACCTACCTTACCTTGTTGTACCCCTTTCGCTACTTCGGTGACGACCTGAGGATAAGATATCCAGCCCTTCTTTTTATCCCTCGACTCGACACCAAAGGTATTGTACACAACATCCGTCTTAATATCCCGACGGCACTTCTCGTCAATCGACTAGGGCTCGCACTTACTCTTAATTAGCATCAGCGGGTTCCTCCCATCCACCCACCCACCGCAATCTATCTTCTCGACATCCGCCCCGGGCACGCCAGCCCAATACTGCCAACCTCCCGCCTTGACCCTGGCCGCCCGCGGCTGCAACCTCTCGTCGCCTTAGCTGCTCTTCCCCGCCGTTTAGTCCAGAGCCCGCTGCCGCTGCCGCCGCCCTGCACCGCCGCCGACTTCCTCGACGACGGGACCATAGCACTGTCAATTAAACTGCCACTTTGCTAGTCACCGCACAGCCCAACCCCTACCACCGCCTGCACCCGCACCCACGCACGCCGCCTGCCTTGCCTTACTTCACTACCTTATCCCCGAGTCAAGACGAAACCTACAATGGACAGCAATAATAACCGCCTCTATCTCAACATTGGGAACAACAACGATCGTTTGGCTCCCGGCAGCGACCGCCAGTTTCCCACGACCCCCTCAACCTTTCCTCAGCCCGTCTTCGGCCAGCAAGGTCAGCAGCAGCAACAGCAACAACAACAGCCCGGCATGCAGCACCCTCAGCAGCAGCAGTACGCTGCCGGCTACGCTCCGCAAGGCTACTTCATGGGCAACCAGCAGCAGGCCCAGTACGGTCAGGCTCACGGCGACTACAATGCCGCCTACCAGCCGCGATCCAACACCCCGGGCACCAACGACCCCAACGTCGGCCTCGCCCACCAATTCTCGCACCAGAACCTCGGCGGCGCTGCCCGCGCATCGCCGTACGGCTCTCGGGGCCCCTCTCCCGGCCAGCGACCTCGTACTGCTGGTGCTTCCGGCCAGAACCCCTCCTACGGTCACTATGCGACGCCCCCTCTCCCGAACCAGCAGGCCTCTGCCGACCTTTTCGCCCCGGCCCCTGAGCGCAACTACGAGAAGTACGGCCCCAATGCCAACAGCAACCAGAAGAAGTGCACCCAGCTGGCGTCCGACTTCTTCAAGGACAGTGTGAAGCGTGCTCGTGAAAGGAACCAGAGGTGAGTAGACGCGCGTACAATACGCATGCTCGGTGTGGTAACAGTGTCGTGCGCAGACAAAGCGAGATGGAAGCCAAGCTCTCCGAGCCCAACCAGAGCCAGTCGAGACGCGAGCAGATCTGGTCAACCGCCGGCCGCAAAGAAGGACAGTACCTGCGATTCCTGCGAACGAAGGACAAGCCCGAGAACTACAACACCGTCAAGATCATCGGAAAGGGTGCCTTCGGTGAGGTCAAGCTGGTCCAGAAGAAGGGTGACGGCAAGGTCTACGCCATGAAGTCTCTGATCAAGACGGAGATGTTCAAGAAGGACCAGCTGGCTCATGTCCGCTCCGAACGTGATATCCTGGCCGAATCCGACAGTCCGTGGGTCGTCAAGCTCTACACGACGTTCCAGGACTCGTACTTCCTCTACATGCTGATGGAGTTCTTGCCCGGTGGTGACTTGATGACCATGCTCATCAAGTACGAAATCTTCTCCGAGGACATCACGCGGTTCTACATTGCAGAGATTGTTCTTGCGATCGAGGCGGTTCATAAGTTGGGCTTCATTCATCGGTAGGTTACATGCGCCAAACTGATGGGCTTCTGCTGACAATTCCAGTGATATCAAACCTGACAACATCCTCCTGGATCGCGGCGGTCACGTCAAGCTGACCGATTTCGGTCTCTCCACTGGCTTCAATCGCTTGCACGATAACAACTACTACCAACAGCTGCTCCAAGGCCGTTCTAACAGACCACGCGACCGTAACTCTGTCGCTATCGACCAGATCAACCTTACCGTCAGCAACCGTTCCCAGATCAACGCCTGGCGCCAGTCGAGAAGATTGATGGCCTACTCCACCGTCGGAACACCCGACTACATCGCACCCGAAATCTTCACTGGTCACGGTTATACGTTCGACTGCGATTGGTGGTCGCTGGGCACCATCATGTTCGAGTGCTTGGTGGGATGGCCTCCTTTCTGCGCCGAGGACAGCCATGACACATACCGCAAGATCGTCAACTGGAGACAGACTCTGTACTTCCCGGATGACATCCAGCTCGGCGTCGAGGCCGAGAACCTGATCCGAAGGTGAGTTGTGCGACCACGCGTGAAAAACGTAGGCTGACATATCTAGCTTGATTTGCAACACCGAGAACCGTCTCGGCCGCAGTGGCGCACACGAGATCAAGGCCCACTCCTTCTTCCGCGGCGTCGAGTTCGACAGCCTGCGCCGTATCAGAGCGCCATTCGAGCCTCGCCTGACTTCCGCCATTGATACCACGTACTTCCCCACCGACGAGATCGACCAGACCGACAATGCTACCGTGCTCAAGGCGCAGGCCATCCAGCAAGCCCGCTCGGGTGTCCCTGTGGTCGAGGAGTCGCCCGAGATGAGCTTGCCTTTCATTGGATACACATTCAAGCGTTTCGACAACAACTTCCGCTAAGACACCCATTCGCATCGTTGGTGGCCTGCACAGCGACATGGTCGCTTTGCGCTAAGAAGCTGCGGAGACTTTCTGCGGCAACGCCCGCGATCGTTCTCCATGTACTCGATTTTGCTCTTTGCCAACCGATACACCAGATTCATGTTACCAAGACTTGCATTTTCCGTTTTTTTGTTTTCACCAACCACTGCATAAAGGGCGTTGACTCGCATCAAGACACACAAAATCACACACATCGCCATGTAGATGGAGAGGGGCAGACAGGGTCGTTGCCTCGTAGGCCTGAGGGCGTGGAGCGTGGGTGCTTAGAGTTCGTTACATTCTCACGAGAAGCATGAAGTGTCTGTCGTAGGAAGAGGGGGGGCGAGAGAGGGAGAGGTAGTGACATCTAGTAGCACTGGATCTATACATCGTGGATGCAGACGCAGAATTCAGGAGACACGAGGATGACTGTTCGTAGTTGGGCGATAGAATGCAGTCAAAATAATGCATTTGTGACAAGCCAGCTAATCTGGTGTTCTGAGATGGTATTGTGCAACCTTTTGAAGTTAGCTCAGATCGCATACCTGCGGGCCAAGAGCTTACAATTTCGTATCCTGCGCCAAACGCCTAACCCTCAAATATGTTTATGCCGTGTCCGAAGTTCCCCAACCGTCTATCAAGATGCCGCCATCCCGATGATGGAAATTTCCGGCTCGGCACCACGGACTTTCTGTCACTTCGTCGACGCGAGTTTCGCGAAAAGTATTCATACATCCCAGCCTCTCAACTCCTCTCACCTGCGCGGACCCAGACCCGGCGCAGAAACGTACCTCTCCTCTCTCTCCGACATGAACATGACCTGCAGCCAGTACTCCTTTGCGTCCGGGTCCCAGAAGCTGAACTGCTTGTCCTCCCTCTTGTCCAGCTCGCGCGCGGGGATCTTGAACCCGCACGTCTCGTACGGCTCGGCCGCGACGAGGAGGTACTGGAAGTTCTTGTCGGGCTCCTCGACGCGCTGCGTGAAGGCGTTCATCACCTGCCACTTGGGCTCCACGTCGGGGCTGATGTCGGGGAACTGCAGCTGGAAGAGCAGCCCCTGCTGTCGCGTGACGGGGTCTCTGACCTTCGTGATCTTGTACCCGGGGCGGCCGATCTTGATGACGTTCTTGCGGGCGAGGGCGCCGAAGCCGGCGCCGACGACGCCGACGGGGAGGCCGGTGGCCGGGTCGATGTTCTGCTTGCCCTCCTTCTGCTCGCGGGCGGCGCGGCGGGCGAGGTTGGTCTGGTGCTTCTTGCCCTGGGTGTGGGCGAGGTAGGAGCCGTCGTTCTGGTGGACGGTGAGGCAGAGGCGGCACTCGAAGGAGCCGACGTGGTTCTTGAAGAAGTAGGGGTCCTTGTCGAGGTCGATGGTCTCGAGGGCGAGCTTGCGGAGGCGCTCGCGGCGGTCGGCGTTGGTGGCGGAGTGGGAGGCCACGCCGCCGCCGCCGAACTTGGAGCCCGCGCGGTTCTGGTAGTCCATTTTTTTGTTACTGTTCGGCTCGTTCGTTGGTCGCGATGGGTGTTTTTTTCGGTGGAGGTTGGTTCGGAGGAGAGGGTGGGTTGTGATTGTGGTGTTGAGGTTGAAGAAAGCTGGATACTGGAAAATGAGATGCTAGGTTCAGTCGCGAAATGTCGAGCTCACCGAGGTGAAGGCGCGGTTCGGGGGTATGATTGTCCGTTTTGAGCTTCTAAAGTGGAGCCCCTACACTAATCGGTGTGGCTCGGTGAGTGTGCTGATTGTCCCTGAGCACAAACAACCACCAACACTCCCCCGGGGAGTTCACGATCCTGCACAAGGGCGTCCTTCCTGCCCGTTTCCAAGCCTCAGCCTATTTTTTTCGATTGGTGTTCTGTAAACGGCATCAAAAAACAAGCAGAGGGCGTGGCGCAATGGTAGCGCATCGGATTCCAGTCCCGAAGGCTGTCCGTTCGAGTCGGGCCGTCCTCATTCTCTTTTGTTTTTTGGACATGTTTTAGATTGTGGTTTCCTGTATTTTGCTTACCTCTATTATCAGTGTGCATTCTGGTCTATTTTGATAGCTATGTGGGCGCGCGGCTTCTTTCGCTGAGTTGCGCTGGCTGGGTGATGTCATGTGGGAGGCGGGGAGTTTGGTAGGTGCTGGTGAACTCGCCCTGAAGGTGACGCACTGCGGCTGCTTTGCCATAGTTTCTTACTGTCTCTATATCCATGGAAGTTTCTCGATTGTGGTGGAACCAGGCCATTACATAGACCGATGAAACTTCAAGTCAAGACTCAATAAGACGACGACCAAGTAAGTGGGTGGGGGGGCATGTCGTCGGCGCCGATGCTTCGTCGGACCTTCAAGTAATGATCGGGATGGAGTATGAAACTAGGTAAGTGAGGTGGCTCAATTATGAAAAGCAGAAATGAAATTAGCGACTTCGCGGCAAGTAAACTCTTGCAGTAAGGATCCTTAGGGTAGGGTCCTCAGATTCTCTCTCTATCCCGATAGTCTGAGGTACAGGTAACTCGCCAGTGCTTCATTGTTCGTTCTTGATAGTGAGTGCCTGTAAAGCTTCCCAGATTGTCCCGGAGGGTGTCGATCACGTAGGTAGGGGACGACATCCGGAACATAAGGCGTGAGACACTTTCTGAGATTCCACGAGGCCTCGTCTTAGCCGCCGAAACCGCTGCAGTTCGTACTCGGTTTGGCATGGTCTCGGCCGCCCTCCTCGTTCATGATCACGACGCACGTCTGAGATTGGTTGACGGAATCGATTGTTTGGGTCTTGAGGGATCGGAAATTGGTAACCAATCCATAGATTCTACAGCAAGGATCGTTAACGAAAGTCTTGCACGCCGCTCCTTGATGGTATTTTCAACAAGCGAGAAGAATGTCCGGGCTGAAACCAAGATTATCGCCATGGGATATGCGCAGTTCTGGGGCAACATCCACCCAACCGACTGAGCATGACCGCTCGACCGCGCGAGTTCAAAGCAGAGGGAGGCACTGAAAGAGCTTTCTCGGGACATAGACCGACAGCTTGAGCATGCGAGCCATGACGCTCGGTGTCCCTTCGTCGAAGTCGGTGTTGCATTTGAAGGGAAATACGAGTTCTCCTGTGGAAAGCCATTGGCAGAACCTACAGCTGAGAGGCAGAATCTTCAGGTTTTGAATGAGACTATAATCTCATGAAAGGGAGCTGGTATTCTGGGATGATGACTCTGTATAGTTGTAAATGCGAGAGGCTATGAAACGAGAGCAGTTCAGTGCTCACGTATGAAACTCTCCAGTCTTCGAGAACGCAATCACACACAAACCAGTCCACCTCAATGTACCGGAAATTAGAGCAGACCGGTCATAAACTATATATTATTAGCGAAGTCTTCCGTAACTCTGGCTACTGCTGAACACGCATGCATTTCGGTAGTCCTCGACATCGATCTCATCCTTAAATTTCTCCCAAAACTGCTCGATGCCTCCCGTTGGTGCGACAATATCTCACGCAACCGTTGGAATACTAAGATAGATGGAGTGGTTTGAAGTGCTTCGAGCCTGACGATACAAAAATAGCACAGCACATAAGCAAGCCTAGTCAGGCTGGGGTTCTGTACCCGAGCAGGCTGAGAACCCAGGCAATTTCACAAGAAACCACTGCAAGTTCTGGCATTCAACGAATCATGAATTAGCGGCTAAGCGCGGACAGAGGGATTGTCTCCAAAATCCTACCCTCCCTTATCCATGCCCCTCTTTTCCTTCTTTCCATTGCCCTCCCCGTCTTTTCTGAGTTCTCCATGCTCATCTCCATGCATGCTTCTGCATACCCCGTCAAGTCTACCTCAATGTCGGCATGTCTCTCGCTCCAGATCATAACGAAGGAGTAGAGAGAAGGGGCATAGGACCTCCGAACGCCGAAATACTAGAGGAAGACCTCACCGGCTATGCAGATTCCCTTGACGACATTGGATACGCCCCTCAACCTGATCGGTGGTTCCCAACACCAGGGGATGTTCTAGACCGATTGAACATCATGCCAGAAGGCTGGAGCAACTCGTCGGAATTGGCGGATTTGGGCTTCTCGCTTCAGTTCCATCCCTCCTTGCGAGACTACGATACCACATCAACCGACTTCCACGATGTCTATCTCGTCACGGTGCCACACACTGCTCTGCTGATATCCATGCATCACTGGTCATTTTATTCACAGGGGCAGTTCTTCCATCTCGTAAACAAAAAGACGCCACAACTGAACCAAGACATCGGCCCTTGGAGTTCTGAGGATGTCGAGAAAGACCTTGCAGCAATCCGACGAGAGGTGGATTCGAATACTTTTCATCACACCACAAAGGACGGTAAACGATTACCACTAATCGCGTATAACGTTGGGCAAACGCAATTCAATCTGCAGCAGATTACAAAGCTGGCTCGCCATGTCATCAAATATTTCGATACCTATACCTTTACGGGCAGAAACTGTCAACTATTCGCTCTGTCACTTATGTATAGAGCGGTTATGACGAAGCGCGATGGATCCGCATTCGTGGGCACAAAGGCTCAAATCATCAACTTCGACCTTAACTTAAAGAACAGTGGCTCGGCTTTACCATTCAACCAGTATGTGGGCTATTTCATTGCGAAGAAAGAGCTAGGTAAGTAGGCTGTAGTGCAAGCTCTCAAAAGATTCTTATAGTTGACTCCATTTCAGATGTCTCAGGCGGCTCACGGAAGTATTTCAAGAACTTCTTGGGTGCAATGGCGAGGTCCGATCTCATCGATACGAGCCTAGCTGTCGCAACTCTCTACCGTTCAGGCCCTGCTGCGATAGGAAGTTTCGACCCAACTGGATCTCAGTCACGACTAGCGTACGCCGCGGCAGAGTCTAGACAGACTCTATCTAGTGCGTCACAAGAAGTTATGACGTCTGTGAAGGAGTGTGTACAGGATCTGGCGAAAGGGAGATTTCGAAGTGCACTCAGAGGAAGGGATGAATCAAGGCTCAAATCCTTCAAGGAAGTGCTGATCAGAGCAAAGAGGGGCGACAAGTTAACCCAGAATGCTATTTCGTACCATAGGTTTTGTTTGTCAATTACCGATGAGGAGGAGAGACAGATTCGCGCAGAAGTTGATAAGCTAGAACCATAGGTACGTCTAACATCTATGTATTGTTGTGGTAATCTTCTGAAGGAGACAGGAGCATCTCAAGATAAACAAGTCCCACAACATCTAAACGGTTTGAAGACTGCAGCCCCGAAAGATTATATTCAACGCGCAGTTCTGTATTGGTCAATAGAATAGCTTCCGGACTCCCTTTTCGTGTGAACAGTCACAGTGGTCGGTAGCCTGATCTTGCCCATTCTTGTCGTCCGATGCCTAGCAAGGCTGGAAGTCTGATGGTGTGCCAGTAAATATACATCTCTTACTGCGCCTGTCTAGCGCATACGGCTTGCATGAGGGCTGACACGTAGAAGCATCAACGTTCCTGAAGCACCAAACCTGAATGAACGTCTTGTACGCACACATCATAGTCAGATGATAGTATGTTCTCGACGTTCTCATGCTCATCCAGTCATCAGCTACCACCATCTCCACAAATTCATCTTCCTCAGTCCGTTCCATATTCACCCTCACCGTTTTAAACCTCCATCAACATAGACACTCCTGGTGTCTTTTTAGTCACTTCCCCGCAGTGTCCGGTAGTACAACATATTGATAGACACTTCAGGCTGTGATCAGGCTGTACCCGAGACCAAATCGGTAAGCTACTCGTTGCCTCACAAGCTCATTGGCTTTTCGTTGCATCAATTTCTGGCAGGTAACCGCCGCCCAGCCTCAATATCTTACTCTTGCAGCTTGGCGGCCACAACTTATACAATCTCACTCCCACCCCTTTGTTGGTTTCGGTGCCGCTCATTTTGTCATTCTTCACTGCCGGAGATTGTATCTACACCCGTCCTCGTGCTGGAACTAGGTTGACCTGCTAGACAGCCAGAAGACATCCCACAACATCCATCGTCTTTCTAGAAATACCAAGCAATAATTACACAGCCTTAAATGCTTCAGGTTCACGGGTAAGGAACTATCAAGGATCTCCAATTCTCGGAACTAAACTGGTTCTAACAAAACAAAGTGGCTAGATATTTCGTCAACCATGTATCAATCTCTTGATCAAGAAGTTCCGAACCATCGAAACGATGTTTCGACTGGCGAAGATGACCAGGACGACCAGAGGAGGGATCCGGATGACGACGAAAGGCGTCAACATCGCACCAGTGACAGCAAAAGCCAGCCGAACGTCACTTTCGTTTCACCTCTCGAAACGGTCGAGCACCAGCCACCGCAACCTATCCGCAGGAGCTCTCCGCGTCTTGGATTGTCACTGAAAGCCAGCATGGTAGCGTCTCTCGCTGTCTTGATAGCCGCTGTCATCTTCCTTTCCTGGCTCTGGTGGGCCGATGACAACAATCCCTATTGGCAACGATGGGTTCTCGCCTCTAATCGTCTCCAGCTTAGCATCGCTATCACAAGCGTTATCATTCGTGCTGCTGTGGGAACGCTTTCCGCATCCGCTATAGCCATGATAGCCTCCTTAGCCGTTGAACGACGTGGCGTGCGTCTTCATGCAGTCGCTCAGGTCTCTATCGCTCGTTTCGCCAGTAGTGGTTCCATCTCTCTGGCTCTCCTGGCTTTTCGAGATTCAGTGTCGGAACCTTTGATGCGTATCCTCTGGTTGTGGCTTCTTCTCGCAACCCTTGGCACACAGTTCACTTCAACCTTACTCCTTGCGGATCTCGGTCAAAAGTCAATCATCTCACCTCCCCAGCCGACAAATATTCCATATCGCATCACATTCCAACCTGATGGAGAAGTCAAATACAGCAACATAGCACGGAATTACTTGCAACAGAAGCCGGGACTGTCAGAAACATTCGCCGAGTACGCAGAAGACAGCACATTAGAAGCTGATGGGATTGACGACACCGGCGTTACGGTGAGGGCTTTCCTCCCACTGGGATTGCAAGAGGAAAGAGAAGCACTGCTCGATTTTCAAGGCAAGACAAGGGTTATCGATTCTCGTGTCACCTGCGCGCGTCCCACCATCACAAATGTTCGGATGTGCGCCCCGTTGGAAGGTTCTCCAATATCACTCGATAAATCATTTGTTGAAAATGCTGGGGGTGTCAGTATCTGTGGCAATATGTCGATTGACGTGCCTATTGCCAACGAAGCCACTGTCGCCGACACTTGGGAATTTGATTGTCCATTGCCGGCCCTCGTAAACCCCAATCTGTCCGTCTGGCAGACTTGTCGACTTGGTAGCTACAACTGGACTACCGTTGACAAGTCTTTGGGAACTGGTAACCTATTCCCAGGGAACGCCCGCGCCAGCGAAACGTATGTTCTGTGGGAGGCTGGCCAATTTATTCTACCTATTCACGAAAGGCTAATCGGAAATGGGCTGTGGGACATGAAAAATCGTTTAAACGTCACTTTGCGCCCAGTCAAAGCCGAACACACTGGTCCATGGCTGCATCAAGCGTTTCGTTGGTCCGGAGCCTCCGGGGGAAATGACACTGATACCAATCTGACAATGACAGCGTGCATAGTAGCTGAACCCATGTGAGTGTTACAACTTACCCTACCTATCATGGCACTCACGTCGACATAAAAGACCTAACGGATATTCACCTGTAGAACAACACCTACGGTATATGATCACATGGATATTGTGGCCTCAAGGCCTCAGGTCACGAAGGAGCCGACGTACAGTCTGACTCTGGCCCGGTGGCTTGAGACGTACGACACTGCGGATGTTCGCAGACAATTGGGAGCCGAGACAATTCAAACCCAGCCTGGAAATCGTCAAATCCTGTCAATCACTGCCGAGAATATGAAAAAGTCCATTTCGGATGCAACCGAAAAACACGGACGTCTAAACGAGGATCCGTGGTTTCTCAGCAACACCGGAATAAGCAGCGATGCCGTTTACTTTCTTTCAAATATATATCCCCTTTCTGGCGGTGAACAGCAGGTTGATACAATCTACGCCGAGGTATTCAACGCGATCATCAACGAGACGAACTCTCCTGCGCGCGCGCTCCAGGCCGTACGTTTCATGGAGGCGAGAATGGCGTACCACGAAATGTTGCCTTTCTTCACGCGCGAGAACGAAACCACAACTATTATAGCCATGCAATCGACGTTAGTGCCAACGCGTCGCAGAGGCTATTGGGCGGTGATGTGCATCCTTGGGGCCTTTCACATCCTGCTCGCCGTTGTTTGCGTTCTATTTAGCGCGACGAATTACAGCTTACCGGATAATATCTGGCACACCATCGCACAAATGTCCGAAAACGCCGAGATATCCAGGGTACTGTCCAGAGCTAAAGTCATGACTGATCGCGAGGTCAAGGCTACCGGCGAAGAGCGACAGGACGATGACGACGATCGATTCGTCGTCCGCAACGGGGCTTTCGTCCGCGCCTCCCTCTTTTCCGCGGCCGCGACCGAAGATCCGGAGAAGTCTTCAAACGCGGGCCAAGTCCGCCGCCGCTTCGTGAAACGAGCTTCGGACGAGTGATGGGGAGCAGCGAGCTGAATTGAAGAGGCCCGAAGGGTAGTAACAATGAAGATGAAAGTGGCAGCAATCCTGCTGGGACTGAGAGATGAGGAGAAGGACGAGAGGGGTGGCGGGTTTATAATGGCAGAATAGTCGAAGACAATTGTTGCGGCTGAGGAGCGTATGATGTGAGACGTACTCACTCGGCTTTGATCGCGCCGACGGTGCTGCTTTGCCTTCTAGCTGAGTAACCTGCTTTTGTAAAGTTTTGTTAGTATGAAGTTCCATGCTGCCATCCATTTCACATGCTATACAGGACTAGGAACCTTCCCGTGGCATTTCTCGAGTTTGGGCTGACCAAAGCTGAGCTCAGCCCCTTCACGGGTGTCGGACCTGTGAAGCTTTGAACCAGAGACTTCTGTTGCCAATCTTTGGAACATGTGAACCTTGACTCTAACTATTCTACGTCATAAGGCAAGACAAAAGTGCTTCAGAAGCCACAGACAATTAGAATATGCAAATGTATGTTACAATATCCCAACGGGGCCTTCCGTTCCCTCCCATTAACTGTCAACAGTAGCTCAGCGAAACAGAAAGGAATGCGCGCCAGTTTCGCGTAGATAGAATAAGAAGGGTGTCCCTAGACTCTTAGGTTCACACTCTGAGAACTTGTTATGTCTTGCATGCCGTGATGCTAGAGCACTGTAATGTTAAAGTGGCCTTGTAGTTGTAATCTACAAAGGCATCAAGTGAAACTGATCTAGTATATTAGGTGATTGAATATTCTTATACTGTAGAGCATCCTTAGGCACCTAAACTTCCTCGAATTTCGTGTAGTAGAAACTCGACCGGGTTCAACATTCATACCTATCCTATCCTGAACGGCCGGTGATGCTATTCCCAGATCTAGCAACACAATTCACACAGCCGGTTGTATCATTTTGCAATTCTCCGTATATCAGGTTTTCAGAACCAAGGTAGGAATCAGGAAAAACTGTGAACGAGTTGTCTTCTTCGTCTTGGTCTTACGGTTCTAGTCTTCCTTTTATCCGTACCCCGAGCCGTCAGCTCACCAGGTCGTCTGAATATTCACATGACATCATCACAATGGCAATGCCGGCGTGAAAGTTGCCTCGATAAGGAAAAAAAAGGGCGAATTTTTGAGAATGATCTCAATTTGCGAGTTTAACAAAAAAAAAAAAAGGGTGAGAAAATCAGGCAAGAAGTATGACATCACGCACACAATTCACAGTCCGCCAGCCACCACGGATATCTGACGCTTGTCAAGACAGAGTTTGCTCTTTCTCAGTAACTCACGAGACGTTTATTATTACCAAATATTGTGAGGCTCTGAATCGTGTAAAAAACAAAACAAAAGTGTTCCCATGTGGTAAAATTGCGGTGGATTGCGATTGTTCTGAACATACAACTCACTCCTTCCCTGTTCTCTCTCCCCGCAGCCCGAATAGCCTCAACTACCCCTTCGTTTACCGAACTGATGGTGGATGATCAAATCTCCTTTTCACACAGTCAGAAATGTCCTCAGGTCTGCGGTATAGCTCTAAGTTATCATACCTTCACCTGTTTTTCTCGTAGCCTGCGACGTATTTGATAGAAGACTTGCAATCCTTTTTCTCACAATCTTCCCTGTACTCATACTTCGAATTATCCGCCCTCCTACCCGTCTTCCATTCGCATTGGTCAACGAGAACGACAATCTCGGCGACAGCCATAACGTAGTATTGAGAGTGATGAGTCGGTCGTAGAGAGAGGCCGAGCTTTTGACGGGACTATCGAGGTATATGGAGATGGGTGGAGCTGTGGGCTGTTTGAGGAGTTGAAGAGACTGAGGGGAGACATCGCCTTGTCCTCTTGCCAGATGCTGTCTTTTTATAGACGCAGCATCGTTACACAGGCTCCGGAAAGGCTCTGGCTACACGGAGAAAGCTGCTCATCAGCCGGTCGAACGCCACGTAATCCCTCCGGCTGGGCGAAGTCCTAGCAAATAAGAGCCGATCCCGGTGTAGGTGACCTAGCGAAGCATTATCGCAACAAGCACACCCTCAGCGAAAGTGCAGTTATGAAAGGAGCAATCGGGTTTGTGGAAGAGCGCAAGTTCTCCACATCGGTCTGCATCGACTACATCTTCTGGTGTTTGGTCCTCTGTTCCATCGTAGAAACAGTCGACTTGCATGGAACAACTTGATCACCAGGCCAGTTATGCACCTCCACGACGCTGTCTTATTGTTGAGAATGCACGCAGATGCGGGCCAAGTGATAACCGGTGAGCTTCGGATTGGTAATCAGCGAAGCACTTGCCCGAATTAGATATGATGGAGAGAGCCTCGAGATCAGGCTGTGAACATCACAAGACTGTCACTCCCTCTAAGAAGGGACATGATCTCCGGATGTGGAGAAGCGACTACCGTAATCGGTTGAACTGCGTACTCGTCCCTAATAGCCTGCCTCATGATGATGCGGAAGTTTGCTGTTGCGCCGGAACATGTTCATCCAGGTGTGATGCTGTACTTCAGAAGGCGCTTGCGTTTTATCCGGCTGATGTTCTGAGGAGCGGGACAGTCGACTCAGCCAACTTTGAATTCACTCGTCACAAAGTTGATGAGAGAGGCCAACGTTCTTTTTGAATATCAACGCAAAGTCCGAATACTAACGAAATGGGTAGTATACCACACCCTAACCTCTTAATCAGAACACAACTCACTTCTTCTCCACCCTCTTCCCCTCCGCAGCCCGAAGAGCCTCAACATCCCTCCCCCAAACAACAGCCAACGCCGCACCCCCGGGCCCAACAACACAACTCCACATCACCGCCTTCCCCAGATCCACCACAACGCTCCCGACCCCGGCCCTCGCGTACGCCATATACGCGATCCAACTCCACGTCGCCAGCGTAGCGCAGTACATATCCCACTGCAGCAGCGTCAGGATCCCCTTCTCGACGCTCGCCATGGGCCTTGTGTCCCAGGGCCACGTGGGCCGGAGAATCTGCAGCAGGAAGTCTGTCGGGGCGATGCCTGCTGCAGACTCGGCTCTGAGAAAGACGTACCCGACGACGGCGTAGTGCAGGAGGGCCGCGAGGGCGAGGGTGGAGGTGTATATCTTCCGGAACCGCGCGATCTTGGTGGCTGGCTTTTCGAGCGTTGGGTTGGGGGCTTTGGTGACGAGAGGGAGGACGGCTTGACAGAGGCCGGTCCAGAGGGGGAAGGCTTGCCATAGGGCTAGGGCTACTTCCTGCGCGTGCTGGGAGATGAGGGATGGCGAGGGGAGGCCGGCGGCGATGCTGGGGGGGAGGACGCCGAGGGACCACGCGGGGAGGATGGTTTCGCCCTGGGTTGGATCGATTGAGATGGCTTCCGCGTGGGCGTCTGGGGTAGTGGAGTCGGGGATCCCGGAGGTCCAGATCCAGGTGAGGAAGTAGAGGGGGAGGGTGACGCCGAAGGTGATGAGTTGCCAGAGCATGCCCCAAGCGGTTGTGCTATTTCTCCGGTTAGATCGAGTACTCTCGTGGGCAGCAATAGACGGGACTCACTATGAGATGATCTTGCCGCGGTTTCCGAAGCGGAGGCCCTCGACGACGATGAGCATGTGCACCGCCAGCAGCTGGCCTGCCATGAAGATGGAGAAGAGAGTCAGGGGGAGGTCTGCGCCGGTGACGATTGGCTGGAAGAACCGCACGAGCATCGTGAGCAGGCTGTCTAGTTGTCTCACGGAGGTGAAGTGGATGGGCTCCAGCTGGAGGTTCTTTGCGATGACATCATTGAGGCCGTTGGCGGTGCCGAGGTCGTTGATGGAGACCTTGGCGAGATAGAAGATGGACAGGAAGACGACGGTGAAGACTGGCCGAGACATGATGAGTTGCTGATAATCTGTGTTGAATTTACAGAAAGCGTGACACACTGAAGTGTGTCATGAAGAGGTAGACGGGAAACACGGGGATACGCAGCACTGCGGCACGGTCGGGATTAGATTGATCAGTCGTTCGTATTTCATCTGAAGTTGGAGATCCGCACGCTTCCTCGGTCAACTGGTGAGGGACCCTCGGTAAGACGCTAAGCCGAAGTAACTCTGCACATCAATTGGCGAATGAGCGAAGACGGTTGAACGGTTCATGTATGAATTAAAACTCAAAAATGCAAGCCTATTTTGGCCCTCCCAACGCCTGGTATAACTCCGTAGATGATGCTGTAAACATTACAATGTAGTATGTGCAGTTTTGGCGCGTATTACCGTTTCTGAATCCCTGCGAAGGCGGGTCTAAATGCCTTGTACATTTGAGCCGCGAGCTGGTCTAGTCAATCCGAGCTGCTGCTTCCCGGCAGAGCCACGGGAGACTCGAGCCAGCCGCGGGTGGCAGCATCCTTGATGCCTTCAAACCAGAGAGTGGCCATCTTGCCGTAGCCTTCATCGGTGGGGTGGGTGCCGTCAACGAGGTCGCTCTTCAACGGGCCACGGTCGGAGTGCATGTCGACGAGGACGACCTTCTTGGACTTGGCCTGCTGCTCCTCGACGAGCTTCTTGTACTGCTCGTTAACCTTGAGTACGCAGGCCTCGGTGTTGTTGTTGCCGTTGGGGAGGAGAGTCGAGAGGACGATGGAGGCGCGGGTGGATGTCTTCCAGATGTACTCGAGCAGCTCAAGGGTACGGGCGCCGGCGTTGGCGGTATCGTAGTTTTGGGCGCAATCGTTGGTGCCGGCGTTGATGAGGACGAGGTTGGGCAGGTACTGGGGGATGGAAATCTTGGCCTTGGCCAGGACCTCTTCGATACGGAAGCCAGACCATCCCTCGTTGTCGTTGTCCTCCATGGTGCCGTTGGGGTGGTTGCCGACCATGTCGACGGGGTTGCCGTCGGCGATGAGAGCGTTGCGCAGCTTCTCGCGGTAGCCGTTTCCATCGGACGACTTCAGGCCGTAGGTGATTGAGGCGCCGAGAGGCATGAGGCGGAGAGAGACGTTGCCGCCGACGAGGACGTTGAAGTCGGATCTGGAGTCGAAAGCAGGGGGCTGCTGCGTGGGGGCGGCGTAGACTGGGGCATATTAGTGTCTGTTGGAAGTTGGAGATGTTGAATACTGGGGAAGCGGAGAGTCGTACCGGCAGTTGAAGCCAACAGCATGGCAGCCGCGAGATAGGCGTTTGAGTGCATGTTGGGGGCGGAATCGTGAGATCGTCAACGAATGAGAGTCTGATGTTGAAGTGCCTGTCGGTCGAAGGATCGCGTGAGTGCCGTCAGCGAGTTGATCTGCGAGTACAAGATGGCAGTTGACGATGAGACAGTCGGGGAACGGGGTGGTTAAGTACCTTGGCCACGATGGAGAACCAGCAAGAAAGGCCAAGGAAATAAGCTCATGAGCGGTTTCTGGTATCTGGATGCGGTGGCAGGGTCAAGCCCCTTTGGTGCGACCGGTACCTGATTCTTAGTGCGATTCATCGAGGGATGAATTGGTGGTACCTCAATCCGAGCTGGGAAGTCCCTTCTCGAGGGATCGGACGGCTCATTGGGATTGTCATTGGGCCATGCCCGGGTTGGGAAAGGTGAGTGGGCGGGAAGGAGGTGTGACACGGGGTTGTGTGTCCAAGATGCAAGTCAAGTCAGTGTGAATGTGGACAGTGAGGGGGGTAGGAGCCTGGACTCCTAATGTGGGAGGTCTAATAGGTAGAGGCCACCCTACCTATTTAGGTATCTCTAATAGGGGTAGTATTAGCACTAAGAATTTAGTAATAATATACTACTTTTACTATATCTTAAGCCCCTACTATATAGCTTTATCTTTAGCTCTTACTTTAAGGTTATTAACTTTAGTCTATTAATTATTAAGATATTAATTATAATTAATTATATTAATTTAAAATTAAATCCTCTTAATAATTAAGTATTAAGGTATATCCTTTTTATTAGAGAATAATAAATATATATAAATATAATTTTAAGATTAATAACTTAAATTAATATAATTTTAACTTTTAATAATAACTTATTAACTTTATTTTAAAATCTATTTATTTATTATTAAATTTATTTAAATTATTAATTAAATCTAGAGAGATTATAATAAATAAGCTTCTTTTCTTATTACTAAAACATTAATATTAAAGTTATATTATTTCTATATTATATTATATATCTTTAATACTTAACTATATATAATATTAAGAGGTATAATCTTAACTATATATTATAGTACTTAATTAAAATACTCTTACCTTTAGATCTTTTAATTTATTAACTTTAATATATAGAATATATAATAATATTATAGCTACCTCTAAATAGTTAATTAAACTATATTTTAACTTTAAAAAGACTAAATATAGCTAAATAAGTCTATTTAAAAATAAATAAATATTTATTATAATTAATATATTAAATATATTATATAAAGGTATAACTATATTATATATTAATAGTATATTATATTTAATAACTATTATAAAGAATATATTAATCAAGATAGCTATAATAATAAATATTAAAACTATTAAGTTAGCTTTAAGGAAAAGATTCTTAATATAGATCTAGAATTATAAAGTAGTTAGAGTTAATATTAATATAATTTATTAAGAGAAAAATAAATTAATATTTATATATTATAATAGAGTATTATTAAGCTTATATTAAGTTAGATATTAAAACGCTTTTAATAAAGTTACTCTATTAATACTTAAGATAACTATCTTAAAGGTATTAATCTAATAGTTTATTAAGGGATTAACTAACTTTAAGCTATAAATTTAAATAGTAAATATATTAACTTTAGTTATATTTAATTTAAAGACTATTTTTAATATTATTAATAATATAAAATAAGTAATAACTAAATATAATATAGAGAATAAATATATAGCTAATAAGAATAAAGCTAAACTATTTAAATACTTTATCTCTTAATAATATTTTAGTTAATCTATAGATTATATATTAATATAATAGTTTATTAACCTCTAGATAGATAACTTAATTTAAGCTAACTACTTAAAGCTAAATTCTTAAGGTTAAATATATATTTTATATCCTTAATAGTAATAGTAATAGCTATAATAAAATAATAATAATATTTTAAATTAATAAGTTAGTTAAAACTTAATAGCTTAATATTAATAATAGATTCTATAATAATAATAAGATTAACTAAATACTAATTAAAGATACTATAATAGCTATAATATAGAAATTAATTTCTCTTATAAAAATAGAAATCTATTTAACTTATTAAACTAAAAGATATTAATTAATTTATATATAAATAAGATTAAGTAATTAAGTAAGAATAAATATTATTACTTTAGATATAGTAAGAGAAATTACTATAGTAATAAATATAAAAATCTATTAGTTTAACTATAGGAGTAAATATACTTTAGATCTATTTATTAACTTTATATAAAAAGTTTTATAAGAGGTATAAAGCTACTTTATAGTATAATTAATATCTATTTAGTTTAAATCTATTTAGCTAATAACTTATTATAAAATAGTCTCTATTTTAAGCTAGATATAGATTATAATATTATTATAAACGCTTAGGACCTTATTAATATTATAGTAAATATAAACTATATAGAGTTCTCCCCTTTAAAAGGCTTTAAAGATATAATTATACTATTTACAGAATTTAAAGAGATTATAGTAAAATCTAGATCTATTAAGGTTATTAATCTATTATATAAAGTAGCTAAAGTCCTTAAAATCCTATTAAATAAGAAACTAGATATAAATTAGAGAGTTCTTAAACTTAGCTTATTAGTTATAATAGCTAAGCTATTTAGATTAAAAAAGAAATAAATAGAAATAATTCTATAATACTTTATATTTTATATCTAAAAGATATTTAAACTAAAAAAGATAAAGATAGTATAAATATCTAAATTAAATATAAGGAAATATATTAAAATTATTAATATTATTAATAAAAACTAAAATAAACTTAATAATCTTTAACTTATAAATAAGCTTAAATACTAAAGACTAATTAATATTATAGTATATAAGGGGTAGCCTCTAATTAATATACTTAAGATTATATATAAAATTAAATTAGATTTATTTTTAATTAATTTACTCTAATTAAGCCTTAAGTTCTTAAAATTACTTAAATTATTATTATAATAAATTATAATTAAAAAGCTTAAGAGAAATAAAAGTAAAAATAAAGAGAAAAAAGTTATTAATATATACTCTATTTAAATAGAATTACTTTTACTATTAATAAAAATAATAAATAATTCTATTATTAATATTAAGTATTTTAATAGCTTTTACTTTATAATAAGGCTCTTTTAAGTAGATTATATATTAACTATAGTAATATTAAAATATTACTTATTAAATTAAACTATCTAAATAGATTAAAGTTTAGAAATAAATATAATATCTCTTTAAATAATTAGAGAGTATAAACTATAAATATATCCCTTATTAAAGATTAGTTTTAAGAGACTTAAAATAAGATTAGCTAATAGATCTATAGACTAAATAATATATTTTATAATAATTAATATTAATACCTATAAAATAAAGAGAGAAATTTAGATATATATTTACTTTTAAAACTTAAATTAATTAGTATTATTACTATTTAAAATACTATAGTTATTTAATATTTAAGCTATTCTTAATTTATAAGTAGTAAAACTTATTATTAGAGATTCTTAAAAAGGTAAGTAGATTTTAAAGATTAATAACTTATTAATAACTATATTAGAGGATTAATATTTAGTCTTAAGTCTAATTAATAAATATATAGATCTTATTAGCTATAACTAGTTAATAGTAATGATAAAGAATAAAGAAAAAGACTTAAATAAATTAAATAGATTTAATATTATAGATATTAACTTAAATAATTTAAAAAACTAATTTTACTATTTTAACTTAAATAAGTCTCTAAACTATAATTATATTTAATATTATTAACTACTAATAGGGATATATTATTAACTAGATTTAGTATTAGACTTTTATATCTTTAAGATATAAATATAATATAGCTTATATTATATATATCTTAAATTACTTATCTAAAAGAGATAAGATCTTAATATTAAGTATTCTAATTATTAAGTATATAAATTAAAAGAAAAGATATTACTATAGAACCTATTAATATTAATACTTAAGGTATTACCTTTAATAAGAAAGAGTTCTTAATAACTTACTATATTATATAACTACTAACTAATTAGATAACCTTAATAGATTAAATTAAAAAATAATAAGATATTAACTTAATTAAATTTAAACTTAATATTCTATTAAAGTATATTATAGAGATAAAAAGAGTTCTATATACTTATAATAAACTATTTATATTCTCCTTAGAGAATTTCTTAATAATAGATCTATATATCTATATCTTATATCTAAAGGAGAGTATTAAGCTTTAGAACTTAAATTAATAAAAAAGATAGAATATAATAAAGAAGTATTAACTAAATTACTTAATTTAATAGAGTTATAATATAAGCTTATATAAATTAATTATCTTTATAAATAGTATTATATCTAATTAGGGAGTATAGCTTATTATAGTATAAAAGAATAATAATCTATAGAGAGAATATTAATTAACTATTAACTATTATAATATTAATAAAGACTTATTAATATTATTAATCCTATTATTAAGAGAGATCTATAAAAACCTATTTAATCTCTATATTAAGATATATTTATCTTAAGATGTAAAATATATATATTAACCTATATTAGTCTATTTAAATTATAGATATATTTATACCTTTAATATATTAAAATAGCCTTAATTATAATTAACTTAAATATAATAAGGAGTAAAAAGCTTAATATATTAAATAACTAAGTTTAATAGGATCTTTTTAAGCTCTATCTTAAAATCTATATTAAAATAATCTCTAATTATACTTTTAATATTAGGATTAATAGTATTAATAGAGATCTACTTTAATAATATCTTTATAAAGTTTAAGATATAAATTAAAAAATAAGAGTTTATTTAAAACTATTTACTCTCTAGATTTCTATAGATATAAGTCTAATTATTTTATAATAAAATTAGAATTAGTTTAATATCTATTATAATAATAGAATAAATATATAATATTAAAGATATTATATAAATTAAGCTCTCTTATATTATAAAAATACTAAAGTAATTAATATTAATAAAT